TTTTTTTTTTTTTTGGCTCTGCATCTCTTTCTGTCGGTTTTTAATTATCTCATCTCTTTCTTCTTCATTTCTTTATGATAATCAACACAAATTCAAAACTCAAATTAATCTATGTGATCTAATAACACAAAACCACAAGAGATAAAAAAAAATAGAATATATATTGTAATTTATAACACGTAAATATAACATCCTATATATAACATTATCTTGTTATCCAATAATTATTACATTCTAAAAATGAAATTGACTTGTTACAAATGAATATAACACGCTATATATTACATTGTCTTATTACAAGTATATATAACACGCTATATATAACATTGTCATGATACATACAAATATAACGGGTTATATTTATTTGCAGCGCAGTAAATAAATAGAAAATTGTCATAAGAGTAGGTTATATAATTTAGTTACATCGGTAAGTTAAAAATTAGAGATATATTTTCATGTTTATATGCTACTATAAACATTGTAGCACGCTACGCAAACACATAACCTGTTCTTTTAACTATATATACATGTATATTTACGCATAACTAGTTACTACAATATACATATTTGTTTATCTTGTTAAGTCGAAAGTTAGAGGTTCATTTTTAAGTCGAAATCCAACTCGAGCACATAAATTCTCATTGAAAATCGCCTTATCACCAAAAATCAAAAACCCAAAAGAAAAAGTAATTTAGAACGAAAACTCAATACAAGTAGACAGAACAAAATCAATTGTCTTAAGGAACAAAAAGAATCAAAATACAACAGAGACATATAGTTTAAAACAGAGAGAATTTTGGTCTCAATGAGAACAATAAAAAATAAACTGACCTGGTAAAAAGTTTCATGGTCAATTATATTAGGTGTGTGATTCATGTCTTTAACGAGAGAGAAAGCGAGAGAGGAAACAAAGAAGAAACAGAAATAATATAATCATGTGAAGAGAGAGAGAAGTTGGACAATGAAAGAGAAGAAGCAGTGAAGGAAATGTAATTAAGATTTTTTGTTTTTCATTTAATGTTTTTTGCTTTTTAAGTGTGTGAGAGGAAGAGAGCGAAAAAGAGCGCGTGAGAGTAAAAAAGGAAGAATCAATGGTGAAATATTTTCTCTTATATAACAACGAAATAGCTCTTGTCATTTTCTTAATTAAACCCAACAGTATTGCTAGTGGGTGCAAATACTCTTAAATAAATAGCAAGAGTAGTTTTGTTGCTAGTAGGGAGATAATATTTCTCCATCAAATGTGACCAAATTGGCCTTACGCGCTTCTCCATCAAAACGAAGGAATTTTTTCCTTCTCTATTGTCGCTTACATTAAATGGGCTTTGTCATTACC